GGACGGATGGACGAGATGTAAGGGGTAAGGAGGATCGCAGTGGGAAAACAAAGAGGATGGGCGGCAACAGAGGGAAACTTACAAGAAAACACGGGAGAGAAAATAGTCGAAGCAACGGAGGATTGGATGGAAAGGACCAAGTGGATGAGTAAGAAAGAGAGTCCGCGAAGAGGAGGAAACGATCAAAGAGACGACGAGAGAGAAAGAGGGGAGAAAAAGGGGGCAAGAGAGTGAGGCAGAGAGCGAGAGAGAGAGAGGGAAAGAGATAGATAAAGAGAGCAACGGGAAAGGGAAACTGCACGGATGACGAAGGCAGTTCTGAAGGGTTTGAGGGTGAACCATCCGAGTGTGGACCAGGATAGTCCTCTGCTGTGGGCGATGGTGGCCGCTGCGGTGGTGGGGTGACACCGACGGCGGGTAGGGCGTCGCAGGGGCAGAACCAGCGCCGCGACGCCTCGGCGTGCACAGTCGCGGCTCGAACGCCGTCCCATGCGAACGTGTTGTCCTCGCGGCTCGTGCAACGTCCACAGCAACGTGTACCATGTCTCCGAGCTGTCCGTTCCGAAGTTAGGATTTAAGGAAGCCGGGATCGAGAATAACATTGTCGATGCGCGGGAACGAGGCGGACTTTGTCGAAGATGATTCGTGGATTATGAGAATTAAAACGGGACTGCTGGACACGTTAACGGAGTCAGTGTTTCAATGAACGATGTCGAGAGATTGACAGTTGTGAGATCGTTGTTCTATCGAATGCGTCAGATCGTCAGAGTGATGGTTGAGGACAACGTGTTTTGAGACTTTTTAACGACATCTGACGGACGTCGAGGGTGACTCGAGATTCCAACCACTTGTTAGCGAGTTTTCTCAGAGCACATGTACCCTTCGATTTTTAGGCGGAGTTGTGCCTTTCGTAACAGCGTTTTTTACTAAGTGGAATGTAGGTACGTTCATTGATAGTGATTTGTACGAACGGTGAACAATTGCCGCGAGAGACGATCAGGTGTTCTGCGACAACGAGACCGCGTGAAACGTCAGAAGCCAATGGTAACTGTGATCGTTGCATGATCGCAATAATATTTATATTTAGTGTGAAACCGGGGTACATTGGAGCAACGCTTCAGTCAAGTTTTTGAGACCCCTCGGCATCGCTCCTGAGACACGTGCGTGCCAAGCCATTCTTATCCAGTAAGTGTGCGCTGTGGACTCGTTATTAATTGCGGTGATCTAGTCGATCTTATTATTCGACGGTACAATCGATTAATTATTTTTCGACGATGAAGAAGATCACCACGGAAATATGAAGAAAAAATACGAATTATGGAGCATGAATTGAAGCGCATGCCCCGTAACGATATTAGCAACTCGATCGCGATGACCAACGCCGGTAAAGGATAAAGCATGAATCCATTTATAAAAGTACGACTGTGATGCGCGACTCGTGAAACATTCGTATTTGCGTTCGGAAGAAAGTGTAGCAAATCCAGGAACATTACGCGCCAATCCATGACATGTAAGAACTGATCGAAATCGGTGAGAATCGGTTGAAGCAATAGGTGATTATAGTGTGATGTTAAAAATGGCGGCGACTTCCGAGTCCCAGGACAATTCTTAAGACACGCTCCACGGTGGAATGGATTTTCAGAGCGCTATGGACACGTTTGTAGAGGCATGGATGGCTGCTAACACGAAAACGGATCAAGTACAGGTATACGCTATGATTGAATACATTCTAATTATTATTAATAATACCATGAGTTCGGAAATCGTTTGTTTATTCTGTCCCTTGATTTACCTACGTCGGGTAAATGATTTCAGTACTATACTAACATTTATATCTGTGAATAGCACCGTAAAGGAACAACCCCTAACATTACACAGCCAATTTGCTACCCTACCAATTTCACCCCTCTTGAGCACTTTCAGCTCATCGCCGAGTTAATTCCTCGATATCAATTTGCCACTTTCCGCAGTATCGTGGAATGTTCAAAGAGTTCGATAGTTTTGCAGAGTTCGGGAAGAAAAAAAAGCATCATTTGATAAATTACGAATGTAGTCGAGGAAGGCTTGTAATCTTATTTAACTTTTAACGTTTCTGGTAGTTTTGTTAAGTATTTTTACGTACGATTTAGGGAAAATACTTTAAATTTAACTTGAAGCAGTTAATACGATAATATTGGTAAATTAATTTTAAGAAACAGTAAATAGAAGGAATATATTGACATTAATTTATTAAGAGCAAATTTTTATTCCGATTTCGAGTTTTCAATTACTTCTTTAATAATAAGAAAGTTAATATTAAAAGTTCATATTTTCTAATATGGAATAATTCTGGTTGCAATTAAGGTAACAAATATATTAATTCATCGTCGATATTTATAATCTAGTGTGCTTAACAAATTGATTTTTGTCATTTAGCACAAAATGTATAGTCTGTGAATTGAAATTATAATTATACAATTAATAAGTATTTTATTTATATGTCTATATTGCTGCGATGATGTGAAAACAAACCTTATGAATCGGTATAATGTTGGTGTACGATCCAGTTATCGTTAAGATAGTGACCACAAATATTAAGATATCAATAATCAAATTACAACCAAGTTAACAATTGGCTGTTACATCTAAATCGACGTCATATAATTAAATCGTATGTAGTTGTTAATAAACTTCATTAAATAAGTTTTTTCTTTAAACAATATATACAATGCGTTTTATACTCATATGAATAAAAAGGAATTTCATACGATAGCGTAAAATAACTTAAATAGTAGTCATATTGATGGTACATTAATCATCGAGTGACGATTATTCACTTTCAAATAAAAAAAAATTTCCTTTGTACGCCGATTTAAAAAGAAATTCCACGTAAAACTTTAAACGTATAGGTATTTATGTATTGCACATACATTACAGTTACATAGTCATATAATCAATGCAGAAACACAGTAACAGCTGTTATCGAATCAGAATGCGTTCGTTATACCTTCGTTATAAGAAGAAGGTTATAAATATTTCAAAGGAAAAAACAATTCTATTCGAGTTTTCTATACACGCATATTACAACATCTTCGCTACCAACATTACACATTCGCGTAACCATCAACATTTTGCATTTTCTTCAAAGAAAAGTAAATCATTTTCATCAAGATTTGTAATGTATGATTCATATGCAAGAAACTAACGAAATTTCCTTAAGTTTTATTTATGTTCTCATAAAGACGATACGTTTCGTTTAATAAAACATTGTCACTATGAAGAATGCTACTGACACAAGCGCTGGTAGCGAACGTAAGTCTTAACACTAAACCGGAAATCGGCCAAATGACCGGATTTTAAATTCTGCGTTTTCTTTCGTTCATTGAATTTTATATCAATTCCTGTATCGCCTGATTAACACATTGTTGACCGGGAATTTTATGCAGTAGCTATCCCATGACACCGGTTATTATTCCGTAATTAAATACGAAAGTGAAACAATTTAAATAAACTTCAATATACTTTATTTATACATAATGAAATGAAACTTTAAATATATCTTCTATATAACTTTGAATATTTTGCTTTTGCAATATTTCATATTGCTCTGCATTTCAAAAACTGACATAGTTAATGCAAGTGCAAACATGAGTTAACTCATGATCGATCAACAATGTGTTAATCAGTTTTTCAATTTTCAGCGTTCTTTTTGTTTCTGTGTCTACTAAGAAAAATGTATCGTCTAACTCGATTACCTTTGTTTTCTGTTATTTAACCGGTTACTGCAGGACTAGGTACTATATACAAAGTGCCGATACGTATAGTGTTAACCACTTAACTGCGTTTGACGAGTATACACGTCATCTTAAAGCTAGAAATGGTATTACTTCTGTCAGCAATGAATTATTTATTTTTCCACATAAACATGTGACTCTTCTTTGTTTTGCTTTGATTATCCATTAAAATATTCTCTAGCTGCATTCGTCCTGCGTTTGATTATTACACACCTCATTTTTAGATTTTATTGCGAGCAAAACGAGAAATTTTTCAAACTAAGTTCCACAGTTAACAGGTTAAAACTTAGCCAACCGAATGAGTTCTCCCAATTTTCACTTAGCAACGCATTACCTGTTTATTCCTTCTTTTGTTATTTAGTAGGTATTTAACTGGAGTTGTTTGTAATTCATCAAATACCTTTCTTGCTTTTATAAAACAAAGTTTTTAACCAAAACAGATGAATGAGTTCAATTAGAGCTAAAAAGAAACGTTATAGTTATAGTTCTTTTTAAGTGGTTGTCTAAGTATCAAGATAAGGTTATGTCGATAGGAAAAGTGGAGAATCTGGAGAGTGCAGAACCGTTGTTCGAAAATTTCCAAGAATTAACCAGAGCGTTAGTAGCGGAGAGGGTTGGGAGATAATCCTTGGTAAAATCGCGGATCGTACGTGTTGCGTGGACGGGCACACGTACTTTTACACGTGTACGTACGGGGGGTCACGGGTTCTGACCACGATACGGATGTGCCCCTGCCTTCTTCCTGTGCCTGCGACCACGTTCACGTTCTGGCATTCAGTGCAATAAGACCGCATCTCCATTGACCAGTCGATCTTTTGATCGTCGGAAATTTCTGATTTTTATTTATGACCTGTACATTCCTGTAACTTTCCAAAATGATGTATCACGACCATCTTTTCCATAATCATTCCCGAATATCGTCTCGACCAAATATTTGTATATGCATTTCGAAAAATGTAAATATTAATTGTTGTAAAAGGATATTCTACACTTTGAAGGCTAAAATTATGAGATGATCACAGTAACTCCTTTAGAATTTCTTGTTTTATGATTATTGGATGAACTTTTTTGTTTTTATTGACTGTAATTTATTGTTTTTTATTGAACAATTTGTGGGAAATTATTGAATGAATTGATTCATTTGTGCACATAATGCAATCAAAGTTTGTCATCAAGCGGTTGTTTTGATTGTTCGTTTTTTCTAGTGTTGAGTGTGCAAATAGCTCATCTACTACGGTCTCATTGCAGTGGTAGTGCAGCAAGTTCAATGTCTCTTTGTGCTCTTGTGTTTGATTAAAATGACGTATATTAACGGAGATAAATAACGGATAGGAGATAGCATAAGACTTGAAGTTACTTCGAGACAAGTGTAGTTTGATGAAATAGTGAATATTCTTATCGATATATTCAATCATTTTTATAAAAAAATTCTAGACGAAGAAATATTGCCTTGATACAGATGTAAATTTTTCAAGTTTACCATATACAAATCAAACTTAAATGTAAATGTCCATTATCAAAGGTTTCGAAACGGTAGAAATAAAATAAAAATTTGGTTGAAAGTTTCTTGGGGGATTTATTTGATAACTTTTTGAACTGTGGCCTACAAGACTCTTAATTACGGGACACCTTTCATTTTTTTTTTAAATTATTATGCAACAGTGGATAGTAGTAATTTGAAGAAGTTCTAAGAAACAGCTTTTCTTCCTCAGTCATTTAATATTTTAATAATTCACTTTTACCTGTAATAATTTAATAGTGCTCTACAGAACTATAATATTTATTTCACTACAATTAAAATTATTATTCTATTAGCAATCTTATTGTTTTCTACTTCAAGATTGCGTTCATAGTTGTAACCTTATACTAACTACAACAAGACGAAAATAGTTTATTCTCTTTCTTATTTTTTAATAGGTTTACTGAAGATTTTTTTTCTCATGCTGTGATTTTCGGTCCTGATTTTATCTAGAAAACGTGTTTTATTAATTCTTTTGTTTAATTCATATTCTTATCTCTTCTGGATTATAGGATTAGAATCTGATATGATTTTATTACATACACAGGATCATAATACAATATTTAATTATTTCATTATATAATAATATTTTTGTACCGGAATTTCCATTAAAAAAGTGAAAACTATATTTGTAAGAAATATATTGGATAGTCATAAGTAATAACTTTGAAGAAACGTAAATAAATAATCATAATCTCAGCACTTATATCTAGTTACACCTTGTAATTTAAAAACTGTATCCAAATTCAAATATTATATTACATATTTTCATTAAAAACACTTGTGATTTTTCTAACCAACTAATGACAAGGGATCCCAAACTTTTTCAAAGTGTATATAATCGCGTTAATTTATAAATCTGCAATAAGTAGATTAAAATATACCAGGTGGATACATATTTCTCAGACTCCTGCTCGCGTTTCAAAACGACAGGATCGAAATCTTTTTCTCCAATATTACCCATTGTTAGGTCCGTAAGATTTGCTCCCTTAGAATGATCCTCGGTTGCGAAGATTGCGAACAATGCAGTAGAGACTTTTCCTTAACAAACACGAGAACAGGATACTAGCAGGGTTTAGTAGTATTGTATAGTGTTTACCAATCGTTCGACTCGGCCCTTTCCCTCCTACGATTTAG